ACATTATTATTTTTGCTAATGGATGCCGGTCGAGCTTGTAACGAGTTATGAATTTCCTTCATCACTATGAGGCTGCCTCTAGTCAGTTAGTTAGTCAGGCCAAGAGCAGTTTCTATATCAGTTTGTGTGCCTCGCATTCTAAAGAGGTGATTGCACTACAAACCACTGGTTTTTAGAGGCGTGACCTTCCATTTATTTATTTGGGGTGCCCTATCTATTTGAGTCACCTCTGGATCTCGTACTTTTATGAGATGATTTGGAAGTGCGTGAGCGAATTTCTGGATGGGCGAATCGCTTGCTTTCCTTTGGAGGTAAGCTCATTTTGGTTCTTCATGTGCTTGCGTCGATGCCAATTCACTTATTTCATGTGTTAAGGCTTATTGCAGATGTTTTTCACCAGTTAGAGAGAATGTTCACTCGTTTTTGGTGGGGTGACACAGCTATGCATTGAAGGATTCATTGGTGTCACTAGGCTGAGGTATGTTACCCTGTAGAGGAAGGTGGCTTAGGGGTGCGATCTTTTTCTAATGTAGCTAAGGCTTGTGAGGTGAAGCTTTGATGGAATTTTCATGCTCAACAGTCATTTTGGTCCATTTTTATGAGGGCTAAGTACTATAGGTCCACCCATCCTGGGCTGATTGAGTTTCATTACCCAGCTTCACCTCTTTGGAGGCGATTGTGTGGGATTCAATCTATGGTGGTTAGTACGATCTGATAAGGTTAGTTTCTGATATGATTGTTGGTTGGGGGATTACCCGTTGGCTTTAGTGTGTCAGGAGACAGCTCCTGAGGTTCCTGTTTCTGCTTACTGGGTGGGTCGGGTAGTGGGACAGGGGATGATTGTTGGAGGTTTTGCCTTCTTCAATTGTTGAGCAGATTGTGCAGATTCCGATTCCGGATCAGGGGGTTGATTAGATAAGGTGGAGTTTGTCTTTGTATGGGGATTTTTCCTTGAAGACTGCTTGGGCTAATATTCGAAGTGTGGCTGTAGTTCAGGCTGGGTTTGCTTGTGTCTGGAAGAGGCATATTTCGACTCAGGTCTCCTTTTTTATGTGGCGATTGTTTCATGGTTTCCTGGCCATAGATGATTGCTTAGAGAGACGAGGTTTCCATGTAGTGTTCCGGTATGTGTGTGGTGGGTCTGGTGAGACTTTTAGGCATCTGTTTTTAGATTGTCCGCTTGCAGTTCAGGTGTGGGGTCACTTTTATCGGATGTTTGGGATTAGATCTTGGTTGTTTCAGTCTCCTTATGCTTTAATGCTTCATTAGTGGCGTTGTGCTCCTTCTGCAGGTCACGTGCGGGTACTGTTACCGTGCGTTATTCTGTGGCACCTATGAAAGGCACGTAATGCTTATAGATTCGATGGGTGGACTTTTCAGGTGCCCGTTATG